TCGCAATTCTACCATTTTTGTTGTTGTGTAAGACATCATGATTACTTTTCCACAGCAGGACTACGAATAAGCTGCTCTTTAAAATCTTCAATCACAGGTTGTTGGTCACCTTCTGGATTGTCACTGAGTCCTAGAATATCCAGGCTACATAGTTGCTCATAGTCTGCTGATGAATTTCTTGTCAAGTATACGTTGTCCAATTCGCTCTCATTTCCTGAAGACATGATGGTCCATCCAATCTTCGTAAATTCCCCAATAGGCTCTCCAGATTTTCAATCCTTGCTTTTTGCTCTGTTTTGATCTTTTAGTATTCACTATTATCAAGAATAAAATGTGTAGGAAGGCAAGGTTTCTTTTCCTTGTCATTCATATTTATTTTATCAAAAGTTAAAGAAATGTGAAATCTTGAAATCATGCTGTCGTACTTGGGATTGGGTAATGCCAAAAGGACGTCTTTATCCACCTTGCTTACAAATGCTTGCAGGCTGAATTTCTCGTCTATGCTGGCAATGTTTACATTGTATACTTCGATTCTTTGATTTACTGACTGCATCATCATGTCTATTCTCCTTGTTTTCTTCCTGACAGGTTTGATCTTGATTAGATCAAGCAGTGTTTTTGATGCATATGAACTCCCTGCACCAGTGTCCAACAATGCACGACATTTCACACCATTTTCGCTGGCTACTACCACAGGATATGTCACTGCTTCATTAGCGTGGTATTGTTCATTGGCTATCAGAACTTGCTGTTGCTCTTGGTCACAAATGGATGTGTGATGTTTACCAGTGCACCTTTGGCATCTAATCTTACTACGGCATTCTGCGGCACGATGCTTGCCACCTGTACAATTGAAACAAAGCTTCTTATCACTGAGCAGTCTCCTCCCCTCCGCCAAACTCTTGATTTTGTCACATTCTGCTGATTTATGTCCTGGCTCATGGCAATAGACGCAGCCTCGTGACCTTCCCGTTTTGTCATCTGTCTGAAAAACTCTCTCACGTCTTTCATCTGAGTGAAATGGGTTCCTTTCGCACCATTTTCTCAATGTCTCTACAAGTTGAGTGAATCCCCATTCCTGCCAGGCATCGTCTGTTTTAACCAGGTCTGCTCAAATCCCAGGTAGCTTGTCCAGCGTTGTTCTTGCATACCTATCCATAACCTTAAGATTTCCCATTGTTTCCAGAGTTTGAATGCTAGTTTCCAGCCTTTCAAAAAACTCTAGGATCTTCCCCGGGTGAGTTCCGTGAAGGATCGGTAGAGAAGTGATGTTCTGGATGTGAGCGTTTGTTACCTCGCTGGGTTTTCCGTATCTCATTTTCAAGATTTGTTTAGCACGTTCGTAGCCTTCAGTTGCCAAGGTAGTCCATCAATTGTTGACCGAACTTTGAACACCAAAGCCTCCTTGAGGTAAGGGAATTTTGTCACTTGGGGGATATCTGATTTATCAATCTCTGCTTCGAATTGACTCCAGAATCTCTGCCAGTCAATGTGTGTTCCTTGAAACTTTGATATCACCAGGTTTGGAAGTTTCACTCTGCCTTGTTGCTCCTTTTTTGATTTTTTGTGCATTTTCTCCCTCAACTTTTTTCTTCATCTCTAATTTCGCTTCTAATTTCGCTTTTTACAGTTTTAAAGCCTCGTTGAAATCGCTTTTTGGAAACCCCCTTCCCTTTGTTTTCCTTCTTCCAGAATAATCCGTTGCTCACCCTCTCTTTGCAACTCCGCCCTGTTTGCTTCAAGCTCCTCCAAAAAGCCCTCATATTCTGCCAGTTCCGCTTTGGTCTTTTGGCTCCACTCACGATTTTCTGCAGGGTCTCATCCGCTTCAATTTTGAGCTCTTGTACTGCCACTTTTAGCGTGTGTACGTCTTCTATTTGCTGGTTGAACCCCCGAATATATCTCGTTAGCGTTTTTGTGAGCTTCTTCTCCGGAAGTTTCGTCGCTTCCTCCCTATTGAACTTCAGAACTTTGAATTTTATTTGTATCTTCTTGATTTCTTCGTCGACATTAGCCATCGTGATTTCCAATGTTCTCTTTTCCAGTGTACTCCTAGTAGTTCCTTCTAAACTCCCATCTGGGGTGCCACTTTGTCGGGAATTTGTTCTAGTTTTCCACGACAATGAACTCTCACAGGGATGATCTCACAGCATCAATCCGTTTGTGATTAATTCGCTATGATCATAGTCATAAGAGAGGGATAGTCTGGAAACTGACAATAGCCTATTGTTCTAGCTCTTTGTCTTCGGTTTTCTAGTACCCAGTCTTCGCGTTAGTGCACAGATCTCATTAGTGAAAGTTTCGGCCTAAGCGATGAAATGCCGGGTGCAAACTGTAGAATCTACGGTTATAGCGTATCAAGACGGAAGAGATATAAAGATATCAGTATCTTCAGTGTACCTAAAATGGATGATGAATTTCATAATAACTGGAGAGCTAAGTTTGTTGCAGCAGTTAAAAAAGATCGTGTGGTAGATGCCAGTCTTCGAAAACAAATCGAAAACAAATCAATTGGCGTGTGCGAGTTACATTTCACTCCAGAACAAGTTATTGTTCGTAAGTATAACTTTGTTATTTGTCTTTTCTGCTTCGTTGTCTTCTTAAAAAGCCATTATTGTGGTAAATTTTGTTTCTTCGAGGCGCATATTTTTGTTTTGTTCGGCCTAATGTCATTCCTGATTACAATTCGTCTGATTTATTTCCCTGATTATCTCTAGATCGTTCAAGAAAGTCTTTGGTCCCTGGCTCCATACCTACACAAAACATGCCAAAGAAGAGTATACCGTCAATAAGGTATTATTTATTCTTCTACTATTTATTAAGAAAAGCCTATATATTCTTGTCCTGCGTCCTATTTTCCATTTTCTCAACACAGTGGTTTTCACAACTTAGTGACCATATTCCACTCACCTGAAAAGGTTATAACATAAAAAGTACAAGTTTTAGTCTTTCACATACCAAAAAATTTCAATGCATAGTATTGCTAAAAATGTTCTTGGCCTTACTAAAAAATCTTCTCTGATTCAAAAGAATATTCTCTGAGAAAAGATAACTTTGGCAATCAAAAATGTTGCAGTTATAGGCCTATATCTTAGAACCAGTAGGATTGCCAAGAAGAAGAAGGCTTTCAGAAAAAGGCTCCTCAATCAAACCCTGTCCTAAGGAAACTCTGTTGTAAAACCATTATTCGTAGAGATTCATGTCTGTGTTTATGATTAAAGTTTTTATTATCGCTACATATTGAAAAAGTTTTTTTTTTTTATGTAGCTCAGCATCTACAGAGAGTCGCATGTCATATGCCTCTGTCACTACAAAAAGAGAGATGGCTGCTAACAGCATAACACAAGAACCTCAAACATGCTACAAAACATTTGATGAGCTTGTAAAAAGAAGTCTTGCTTTGAAGCTGAAAGCACAGTGGAACATTGATGTGCTACCTGACCAGAGCATGTTGGTATCACAAAGACAGGCTCAGTTTACCATAAGCTCATTTGAGATACATGTAAATGCTGATTTGATCTTTACTTTGAGTTTTCGGGTGGCTCATTCCACAGGAAAATATACTTTACAGGAAGTATTCAAGAAGCATGGAAAATGTCACTTTGTCAAGCTTGATATCTGAGTTAGAGCACAATTTTATCTGTTCTGGGATAACACAAGCAGACCTACAAACTTCACATGCTTTCATTCATCATATTGTCCCAATGCAATTTGATTACATGTCAAGTAGCAGTACTCCGCTTTGCCAAAAGGTATTTTACAGGTCACCTGGTTGCTTGATAATTGTTATCAAAGATGGGGATGCATGCACTGAATGTTGCCAATTATTAAAGAAGGAAACAAAATTGCTTTAAAGAAAGAGAGAAAACCTTGCTACCCCAGCAAAGTTGAATGCTCCAATTCAATTTACTTCACCCATGAGAGTAAAATTAGCACTTAAGCAGCATCGTGATGAGAACAAACTTCTTAAGAAGGAAATAGCAAGTCTCAAAACAGAAATTGAATCCAAATCTGTTCCAGTTAGTGATCAACTTAACACTGACATACAATCTATAATGAAGCAAGCTAGTCCCCAATCTGTTTCACCTTTTATGAAGCTGTTTTGGCAGGAGCAGTTGAAGTATATTGATACTGCAAAGAAAGGGGTTAGATATCACCCTATGCTGATTAGATATTGCCTAAATCTGGCCTCAAAGTCACCAGCAGCATATGATGACATTCGTTTTAATGAAGATAAGGGGACAGGATTCTTAATCTTGCCTAGTCGTCGCCGCCTTCGAGACTACAAAAACTTCGCCCACAGCGTGGTTTCAACCATGAAATCATAAAAGAGCTTTGCAATAAAACAAAGAATTTTTCTGAGAAAGAAAAATATGTGGCCATCTCCTTTGACGAAATGAGAATACAGCAGGATTTGGTTTGGGATAAGCACACAGGGGATCTCATAGGATTTGTTGACCTTGGTGACAAAGAGCTAAATGTTGCAACACTGGAAGGAACTGATGCTCTTGCTAACCATGTTTTGGTCCTCATGGTGAGAGGTCTAACCAATCCTTTCAAATTCAGTCTTGCAACTTTTGCAACAACAGGATCCACTTGCTTCCAAATGTTTCCACTTCTGTGGAAAGCTATTAGTATCCTCGAGCTAACTTGTGGCTTAAAGGTAGTTGCTGAAACTTGTGATGGTGCATCATCTAATCGCAAGTTGTTTAAGATGCACAAGCTGCTAGAGCCAAAAGAACAAAAAAAGGCAGATGTTACATACAAAGTAAGAAATTTGTTTAGCAGAGAACCACGCAACATTTACTTTTTCTCTGATGCCCCGCACCTCATGAAAATAGCCAGAAAATGTTTTGCTAATTCTGGTGCAGGTACTGGGACAAGATTCATGTGGAATGATGGTCACTTTATTCTTTGGACTCACCTTACCCAGATGTACAATGAAGACAAAGAATGTGGTCTACAGCTCCTTCCAAAGCTAAAAGACGAGCACATGAGACTAAATTCTTATTCTATTATGAATGTGAGCCTTGCTACTCAGGTTTTAAGTTCATCAGTCGCTGAAGTGCTATTTGCATATGGTCCTCCGGAAGCTGCTGGAACTGCCAAATTTTGCTCAATGATGGACCAGTTCTTTGACTGCACGAATGTGCGAAATAAAAGAGAACATCCATTGAAACAGAAGGCATTCCTGAAACCTTACACAACAACTAATGATATAAGGTTTGACTGGCTCATCAACTCCTTTCTTGTGTATTTTGTTGAATGGAAAAAGTCCATCCAGGAACGCAAAGGGAGTTTCAATGACAAGGAGAGGGCAAGTATGTTTATCTCCTCTCAAACTTGTGAAGGTTTGAAAATCACATGCCATTCTCTGGTTGAATGTACTCAGTACCTGCTATGCAATGGAGTTTATTATGTCCTTTCAGAGCGTTTTTCGCAAGATGCACTTAGGCGCAAAGACAACCCCACATTGAAAAATCTTGGATATAATGACAATTCAATCCGGAATCAGCTAGCAGTCACACCTATTGCGGGGAATGTTAGGGGTGTCAAATATGGCCAAATAGCAAATTTGAATAAGATTGATGAAACACCAGTTCCTTCACGTCAGACAAAGAGGTTCAAAGAAGCTTAAACTTTTTGAACATATATATGTTTTCTAGAAACTGTGCAGTGACACGAAATTACATCTATTGATACTGAAACTAATTCCTAACCTAGCTATATACTTTCAAACATTGTGTTTCAGTAAATATTTTATGTATATTGTAGTGAAAGTTTGTTATATATTGTAGTCAAACTAATGTTTGTTCAGAGGCTTTGATAAAGTGGACTAGACCAGTTAGATCATATGATATTTCCCAATAAAAAAATAAATTAATTTTTCCCTTTGCTTAATGACAAAAACATTTTTCCATATTAAATTTCATATTAAACATCATATTAAAACAACATAGTCAAAATACACTTGAGGCCCTGCAATTTCCCCTTTTCTATTCTCTTAAATTATTTATCCATGGTTTTATTTAAGAATTAGCTATTTCAATTAAACACTCTTTTTCCAGAACATACTATTCATCAACTATCAAAGTATTAAGTACAAAAAGTATTAAAAGTAATTGAAGGAAGTATGCCACACATGTCTCTGGAACTCTTATGTAGTGTTTTTGAATAACACAAATCACCTTGGAGGATCAGTGCTTTGACTGGACTGTTTTAGCTCCTTCCGTAGTGACTTCTTTTTTGTTTTCTTAAGAGATTTCAAGCTCTTTTCTTTTATATCTTTGGCATAAGAAAACATTCGAACACGTAGATATAATGTCAATATGTATTCAAGCAGGTTGAACGCCAGTTCCTTTTTCACTGTATTATCTCCGTTTTGGTACAATGTTTTGAAAACACTTTGGATGGTACAATTTTTTATAAGGAAACTGATCATTTTATTTGTGTTCATGCTCTTGATGATACCAGCTGTTTGCTTACGAAAATATATTTCGGTTACTCGAAACATTTGAACAACATCTCGGTTCACTCTCCAGAGCCCACCACGATCTTTTAAAGATACAAATTTGTACCTTGCATTCTCTGCCAATTTTCTTCACATTTAGCAGACAAAAGAATAGTCATATATGTCTGGTTTAAATCACTTTTTTCAAAGACTGGCTGTTACGCAGGCGCCTATAAAGTGTTCCAAAGACATATCCACTAAAGTACACTAAGGCATCTTCTTCTCTCTGTGAAAAAACAAACTGGTCAGATGTTGTTTTCAGCAATCCATCCTTTACAGTGCAGTTTGTCAAATATGCCAGAATGCTGTTAGCTAATTCCATCCCTAAGAGTAGGGATGATTCAGTGGAAAGACTATCAAAAAAGGGCTCTTGTTCAGAAATAGCTGCATAAAACTTTGGATAAAACTTGTCAGCATCTCCATTATAATCACTGATGATGTTTTCAAGCTTACCATGCACCAATATTGCTTGTGCTACTGTTATTTTGTATCCATTGAATTCCTCTTGAACTGAAATTGGATAACATTCATCTTTTGAAAGTTTGATTGCACAGTTTTCAATAAATGTTTTTAGACGTAGCGGATGTAGTGAAACAGGTCGGAAGAAGCTCCATCTGTTGGTTTTTTCTTGCTGTGTTTCATTGTTCCATGGCGCTTTAAGCCTCTCTCTGACTGGCATACTTTTTGGCATACACTGCATTTGAAGTTTGATTTTTCTTTTGAAAATTCTACCTTTAGATAAAAGAAAACCAAAATTTAAAACTGATGTCATTAGCACAGGAACTATAAACAAAATGTAATAGGCCGAAAACTTATCATTCCTTTATGATTATTGCTGCTTTGGTTATAAATACAGATATGTTATTTTGGAGTTTTTGAAAACAAAATAGTTGTGTCCAAAAACCCCCTTCATTTACTGGCTTTTTAGCAAATCAAATATCCCACAAGAAAGCGCATAAATGGTTAGGCCGTACTTTCGTCTGCGTCCCATGAAAACAACAAAGTTGGAAAAATGGTCGAAAAATGAAATGTAAAAACAGATAACCTACCTCGGAAAGACGAGAATCGACATCAGACTGAAAATTTGAGTCATGAGTAAGTTCATCTTCTTCTAACAAACAGAGAATCGCGTCAAGATCGACACCATCAATGTATTCAGTACTACTCGCCATTCTGAGTGTGCACTTTCGTCGCACTCTGTTGCCTAATTCAAGTTATCCTGCTCTCACAATCGTTAGAACAATAGCCTTTGTTCTAGTTTCCACACTATCCCCCTCTTATGACTATGCTATGATAGATTACTTAACTCTCGCTAGTTGATACTTCTATGCCTGTCGATCCTCTCACTAGTTTGTTGATAATAATTTCTATAATGCTTGTCTGTTTATATACTCTTGCTACAGAAAGTTCTAGCTAAGAATTTGCTGATTAATCATGACATATTGTACGTTATATGTATTACAAAAATTCTAAAAATACCCTTTAGAGAATGTTCCCGATAACCCCCCAAAGTTCTAGAAAGTTGTAAACGAAATCGAGGCTAACTACCATATTATGATAACAGCGGCTACAATTAAAGGGATTACCTAATAATGACTAAGCAAGCATGTTGGCAGATAATTCGAGGTAATTATGTATTACGTAAGCAAATGTCTAGAATGTTCTAAATACTACTAGGTTTCTCGGCGACACAACGGAGCAACTACCTTAGCTTGTTCCTTAATTGATTTTGAGACATGGAGGTCTCTGAAATACCTTAAAGGTAATGTGTCCAGCTAAAGCAAGCAACTCTGCGGGGGTTTTCAGAAATATGTGATTTTTCATGTCATCGCCCCGGCCATTGCGGTCGTTCTGTTTATCTACCCTGCTGCGAAGTTAGCTTTTCATGTGAGCAGTTTTGCATCGCAAGAATACTGACCAATCGTAAGCCGTAATTTTGATGCTACTTGACAAGTTGGGTATACGCAACTCTTTATATGGACACATTACCTTCAAGCATTTCTTCCACTGAGCGGATTTTACCTGACATTTCTTATTGAGATACTATTGGGGAGGTTTGACACCTCCACCCCCGGTCGCGACACCCCTGTTTATTGTGTTCACTTTGTGAATTATCATTAGTCATGCTCAGCATAGCGGTCAAATCTTTGATTGGCTGAGAGCTCTGTTCGCTACCATGTTCTAAGACAATCAGCACACAGGATTCTCACAACAAAATCGCTTCGCAGCTAGAATTAGGCCCATTTTCGCCATTTCAGCGTGTTTTTACCACATTGTCTACAAAAAACATTGCACGCCTCTACAAAGCGAAATTCCACTTTATTTTTTGTCCAGTTCATCATCATGCGTTGCTATTTAACCTATATTGGCGCCACTGTTCGATCGCAAAGAATAATTTAGAAAAACACCTCACAAATTTTCGCTAAATTTCGTGTCGATATCCAGGTAAATTACGTTTTTACCTCTCCCCGTTTTTACCTCTTCCTGACGAAAGCGCACCCTCGAAATTTTCAGGCGTTTTCAAATTTTATTAGATCCCAGTCTTACCGCGTGAGTGTATTCGCCATTTTCATCACATAAGATTAGTAAAAATGGTCAATTATCTTTAGACAATCATGATTGCAATTACTTTAGGTTGTTGCTGATAATTTTTCACTTTAATGAAACAAATTTTGATTCCAGAGGACAAAGATCCCTTTATTGAGTTCGAGGGTAAATATGAATGCCTTCGTGCCGTTGTGATGATTACATTGGCGATCACCGCCGAATCTAAAGCAGGACAGTGAGTGCATCTTTGACGGGATTATGAACCATTCCTAGATTTAGGGTAAGTATATAAATGGTTTTATCTAAATGTGAAATGTCTAAAGCACTTTGGATGGGGAGAGAAAAAAATGTAATTTACCTGAATATCGAAACGAAGTTTAGCAAACATTTCTGAGGTGTTTTTTTATATTATTCTTTGCGATCGAACAGTGGCGCTAATATAGGTTAAATAGCAACGCATGATGATGAACTGGACAAAAAATAAAGTGGAAATTCGCTTTGTAGAGGCGTGCAATGTCTTTTGTAAACAATGTGGTAAAAACACGCTGAAATGGCAAAAATGGGCCTAATTCTAGCTGCGAAGCGATTTTGTTATGAGAATCCTGTGGGCTGATTGGCTTAAGAACATGGTAGTGAACTAAGCTCTCAGCCAATCAAAGATTTGACCGCTATGCTGTCATGCTCATGCATGCCGAAGTGGAACTTGGGAAATATATCACGTGTAAGAAAATGTGGTTTGTGCACGTCTAATGAAATTGGGGCTGAATACCATACTCTCCTAGAATGTTCATCGTTAACGGACATCATAAATCTTTATGTCCCAAATTTTTTTCCCAAAATACCCATCTCATTTTAAATTGTAATTATTGATCACTAGCAATAACCAGGAAAAATTCACTAAAAGTAAATTCACGAAATTCGCATTTTGCATTACCTTTCCCTTTGCCTCTCAGTTGCCATTAATACACTCTAAATATTATCCCTCACACCAATTTAGACCCCTCAATTTGGGCTTTTTGTGTACCAGCCCTTGCCTTGCTATGTCGGTGTTTGATACAAGTGAACAACCACAATGACATTTTTTCTGATCCATCAAACAATGTAAGGTTGTGTGAAATGAAGGGAATATGGTCGCGAACTACCAAAAAATTGTTTGACGGCCTCTTGAAAATGCACGTGCTAGCCCACACGAACTTCAGAGAGTGGATTACAAACGCCCCAACGTGTTATTTACTAAACAATTAACTCACATTTCCGCTTGTTACTGGGTTGTTCTTGAGGAACGCGAGTTTTTGTTGCGAGGCCTGGAAATAGCGCGGCCGTTCCGTCCTCCTGCACATGTGAAAAAATGAGATTCCGATTTTACGACGGGGACGTAGAATGGCGCCAAAATCAAACAAGCTAAAAATGGACGACATGTTGTTTTTATTGCACGATGAGGGCGATATCGACGAGAAAGAGACGCCTCTTCTGTTAGAGCACCATAATAAAAATTTGCACGATGGCCTTCCGTATTTTAAGTGAACGTTAAATGTTTTCAAAAGATTAAAGACATTCATTGGCTTTCAGGAGAAGAAGATCCTTATTCAGAGTTTCTTTTATTCTAATTTTGATTATTGTCCTTTGGTTTGGTATTTCTCATCTTCCAAATCATTGCAGAAAATAGAAAAATTACAAGAATGTGCTCTAAGATTTCTTTATAATGATCATACGATGCGTCTGCTGCACCGATAATTCAGAATCTTGGCTGGTTAACCATCAGAAATATTGCAAGAAAGGAGACAGCCACGCTAACTAACAAATCTCTAAATATGCTTGCACCAGACTACTTGAGAAAATGATTCGAAAAATGTTCGGATGATAGAGAACGGTTTCTGCGTTCATCAGAAACTGGATACATGGCTCGATAGCTTGCCCAAAGTTCTTTCCATGTGTCCATCAGCCTAAAATTGTTTAATTCTCATTGCTGTTCTATAAAATATTGCGATTGACCATTCATTGTTATTTAGCCAAATTAACTTGGATATTGTATATTTAGTATAATTATGTTAACCGGTATATTGTAATTAATCAATTTTATGTTGAAAAAAATATTTTGAGTTTGAGTTTGATCTTAAGATACCGCTGCTAAAAACGACAAATGACCAAAAGGCTTTTTCTTATCGCGGTCCAAAACTGTGGAACAGTCTAGAAAGGGCTACCAAATTGGCCCCCTCCCTGGAAACCTTCAAAGAACAACTATAGTCGGGGACTACTTTTATTTCATCTTTACGTTCACTTTTTATAGCCTTAGTATTATTAAATATTGTAAATTAGGTTTGATTGGTAAATTTCTTTTGTTATTAGTATTATAACATAGTTATTAGCTCTTATTCTAATCTTTTAAACAGGTCAGGTTGAAAAACATATGTATGAACCTTTAACCTGTATAAATATTATAAAGTGAAAATGAAATATTATATTATATTATTATATTATAAAACAAGTTCGTATGATGATTTGCTTTCGAGATCGAGTAAATGCACGATGCATGTTGCCCGCCAAAAACTCCTTTGCATTGAAATATTTAAAACACTGAATCATTTAAATCCACCATTTATGCAGAGCATTTTTGAATTACGTTCTTCAATTTATTCTTCAAGAAGTCCAAATAATTTAGCACATTTTAGGCCTAATCAAACGACAAGGTGACGACAGATGATCAAAGGAGAGGAAATGCCATGTGGGAATAGCAGGGTTTTGAAGCTGATGATCGTCATGGTGATTAATGATGATAATGTCTTAATTGTCTGTTGGGAAATGTCTTACGTGTTAAGTGGAATGTGTTGAATAGGCAGAAACGAGTGTATGGCGTAGGATGGAAAATAGGCCTAGGCAGGGTCACTACAGTTCTGCTTGTTCCTGGGTTGTTCCGCTTTTTACTGGGTTGTTACTGTGTTGTTACGCTTGTTACTAGGTTGTTCTGCTTGTTCCACGTTTTAGCAAAGGTCGTTTTCTACAATTACTCAAATGAGGCGGTATCAACATAAATCAGGTCAATTGGGTATGATGTGTCAACAAAATGAGGGAATAAGTCACCATTGCCACTAATAATGTATGCCCTGTTGCTGTTTAGTCTTGCAGTAAAGATTTTATGTTTGACCCTCGGCGAATTTTTTTCTCAGGTAGGTTGAGCTCGTCAGTTTTGGTCGGCAATCAATCTACAATGCCTGCCAAAAGTCTTGGAACACTGACATCAATTTCCAAGGTCAAAACCAATCATCCCCCTCTCCCCCACGGAACAATGTTGGTTTACTATCAAACGGGTTAGGGTTTTAGGAAGCACTTTCTTTTGCGCTTCTTTTATGATATTTCTCTAAATCATCAACATTGTTTGAGGGGAAGGGGGCGGAAGTAGCAAATGCAGCGTAAATTGGTGGGTGTTCCAAGTATTTTTATTTCATACTAACTCTTTATAGATAGTTGGCCTTAATTAGCTTCTTTATAGCTATCAGCCGTTCATTTAGTACGCCAACTTTAAACAAATTATTTATTATTATATTATTATTTATACTTTTGGCCGACGTTGCTAAAACGAGGAACTAGCGGAACGTGCGCGGAACTAGCGGAACGACTAAGGAATGACCGCGGAACGATCACGGAATGAGGAGAGAACTAGCGGAACGACGAGGGAATGACCGCGATACGAGAAGAGGGTTAGCGGAAAGACCAAAGTACACCAATTCAACTGACGGCCTCAGTTTCATTTTGAAAAATTCTTCAAATTCTTTTTTACAAAAAATTTCACTTCAGATTCGGATTGAGAGCAAGGGATTAATGTATCGCTCACGATATTGATTTTATGACGACATTAAGATTTTACCGTGATTGCCGACCATGGGTTTACTGTAAAGTTTCCCCCAGAATGATCCCTTACAGGTTTTCAAACTTCATTTCTCTGTAAAATCTAAAATACAAGCACAAACAATATGAAAGATTGTATCCAACCTAAAATTATGGCGATAAAACCAAATCTGAGCTTAAAAAGCCGTATAATGAAGTTTGGAGAAATTTTCAAAACGAGACCGTAAGTCTAATTGAGTATGGATTGATCAGACTAGATAGATAAAAAAATAACTTCGAAAATAAATATGAGATGCAAGATATATAAAAGAAATCATGCTGGAATGATAAAATTCTGTCAGGGCCCTAGAAATTTTTTTGCAACAAAATCTTTTGTTATGGGAGTTTAATTTGCACTGTTTCTGATCTGTAGCACATTAGGCCTAACATTCAGAGTATCGTCGGGATAAAATTTCGTCGTGGATTTAAGCACAGCGGAGATAACAAAATACTATCAGGATTCTAAGAGGCAAAATAACCTGATCCTTGGAGACTTGAGCCCCACTGGGAATTCGGCTTAACCTTGCTGACAGCATTTTCATACAGAACAGCATTTTAGAAAAATCAAACAAAAGCGTGATGTTTCCCACGTTTCTATGAAAGTATTCCGTTCTTGAATATCACCGCAGCGATTATGG